GAGAAATTGGAACCCTTTTGTACTGTTGGTGGTACTGTAAAATGGTAGAACTGCTATGGACAACAGTATGATAGTTCTTCAAAAAATTAAAAATAGAACTACCATATGATCCAATAACCCCACTTTCAGTATATATCCAAAATAATTGAAAGCAGAGTCTTGAAGAGATATTTGTACATCCATGTCCACAGCAGTACTATTTACAATAGCAAAGAATGGACACAACCCAAATGTCCATCGACAGATGAATGGATAAACAAAATATGATATAAACACAAAATGCAATAGTATTTAACCTTAAAAAGAAAATCCTGTCATCCGCCACATGGGTAAGTCTTGAGGACACTACACTAAGTGAAATAATCCAGTCACAACAAGATCCATTCTGTATGATTTCACTTATATCAGGTAAGTAATCAAGTTAATAGAAACAAAAAGAATGGTGATCACTAGGGGTTAGACTTTAGAGAGAGGGAGAAAGGGAAAGCATTGTTTAATAGGTCTAGAGTTTCAGTTTTGCAAGATGAAAAATTTCTGGAGATTGGGTTCACAACCATGTTGATATACAACAATGTAGATATACTTAACACTACTGAAACGTATTTTTAAAAATGGCTAAGATGGTGAATTTTATGTTATGTGCTTTACATAATAAAAAAAAGGAGAGACTTTTGGTTTCCAATTCTGCATGTAAGGAGCTTAAAAGTCACCACTCTTGTAATAGATAAGCATGATATCGGGGATGGGAGGGCAGTGGATGGGGGGAGGTGTGTTGTGACTTTGTGAGGGGTGAAAAGGATAACTAATGCATTGTTCTGTACACCTGAAACTAATTAAAACAAACAATCAAAAGTCACCACTCTGTCTTAACAACAAGTAAACAGCTGAACAGACTGAAACATCAGCTCTTCTTGGATCCTTAAGAGAGGGAAGGACACACGGCAATCTGCTGCCCTGAGACTGGAGATACAGGCAGATGAATACAGGCACGCCTCATTTTACTGTGCTCTGTTTTATTGTACTTCACAGATAGTGTGTTTTCATCAACACTGAGGTAGGACCCTTCACCAGGAAAAGGATAACGACTTGCTGAAGGTTCCAATGATAGTTCGCATATTTTACAAATAAAGTTATTTTTAATTAGGGTATATACTGTTTTTTAAAATAATGCTATTGCATACTTAATAGCTACAGCATAGTGTAAACATAACTTTTATATGCATTGGGAAACCAAGAATTTCATGGGACTCACTTTACTGAGGTATTTGCTTTATTGCGGTGGTCTGGAGCTGAGCCCACAATATCTCCAAGGTATATTGGTACAGAGAGTCATGGCTTACCAGATCACAGACTGATGAACAGAAAATACTGCAGGGACAAGGAAAACCTGAACTAATTGATGAAATGCTGAAGGTTCTGTATGGATAACTCTGACGCTCATAAATTTGATAACCTAGATGAAATGGGCCAATCCTTTGAAAGATACAACAGTCTGTCAAAACTCACACAAGAATAGATTATCTATATACTCCTACATCTATTTAAAAATTGAGTCAATAATTAATAGCCTTCTAAAACAGAAAGCACCATGCCCAGATGAGTTCACAGGTAAATTCTCCCAAATATTTAAGGAAGAACGTATACCAATTCTCTACAATCTCCTTCAGAAGACAGAAACAGAGGGAATATTTCCTAGCTCATTCTACGAGGTCAGCATTACCCTAATACAAAAACCAGATGAAGATACAACAAAAAAACTACAGGGTCAGCTGAGTGGTGCGTTGGTTAAGAGCTGGCTTGGACTCCAGCTCTGAACAGCAGGGCCCCAGTTTGGACCCCACATATGAGGGCCGGTGACGCTGCGCCCTCTACAGCTAAGATGGTGAACAACAGCTCNTAGACTGCTGACTTCTTGTGTCCTCACATGGTAGAAGGGACAGGGAAGTTCTGTGGGGCCTCTTTTCTAAGGGAGCTACGTGGGCTCCGCCCTCATGACTCAATCACCTCCCAGAGGCCCCACCCCTTAATTCCATCACACAGGAGGTTCAACATATACATTTTGCGGGTACACAGACATTCAGACCATAGCACTTCCTTAAAGTATCTAGGAAATAACACTGCGCTGCTGGTACCTTGATCTTAGTGCAGTGAGAACCACACTGGACTTGTGACCTACAGAACTATAAGAAAATAAATTGTTGGTTCACGCCACTACGTCTGTGGTCATTTGTTACAGGAGCAATAGAAAACTGTTATAGCATCCCGTGGGCTACTTCCTGGAAACCCAGGGCTCAGGAAATGCATTTTGATAACCATCAAACCTGGCTTTCTGGGGCCTGCAACAGATGCTCAGCGACGTGCACAGATCAGTCAAGCACCGCCTGGCTGAACGCTGCCTGGTCTGGGTCTTCAGATCGCCTCCTTCTTACCCTCAGCTATTTGTAAAGTGACCAGTGAAAGTAACCCAGTGGCCCCATCCAAGAAGTCAAACTTCAAAATCCCCAAAGTCTATCTGGTCGCTACCAATTGTGACACACAATATATTTTTCTACCCAGGTCACACCCTAAAAGCAGGGTGTGAAGACCTAAAAACACTTGATAGTCACCGAAGTTTAGCCTCATAAGTGGAGAGAGGAGTGCAGCCCAGTTCACAGGAGGGTACTGGTAGCTTTCGCCAACGGTTGCTATGGGTTTCATCACAATCTTGAGAAGGGAAGGAGGCACAGATTCAGGACCTGCAACAGAAAGGAAAAAAATAATAAAACGCCTCCGTACCATTATTAAAATGGAAAAGGCCAACTTTCCCTTCTGGTTCTTCTAGTTTCAAAGGATTTGGTATCATGTCTTTCAATGTGGTCCATCCTTTAATCCTGTGTTCTTAAACCTCAACCCAATTTGCTACAAAACCTGGTTCTCTCTATTCTTCTCTCTCTTATTTGTCTCCAGTCTTCCCCTCTTGTCTGGACAGGAATATGCCACACAGCTACTTAGCTGTCTTCCATACTTTTCCTCATGTCTTTTCACCCAGCTTTCTAAAAAGGGTAACTTTCTCTACATGATTGCCTCACCTCTCGCTGATTCTTCAATCCGCTTCCACAGAGGAGACAATCACGGCCTACGTGGGTCCATTCCCTCTACAATCCCCATGGCCCGAAATGGGCATGTTCTGTGCCATGTGACTCACCACTGTACTCCTCGGCCTGTGCCATGGCTGGCTGATGGCCCCAGAGGTCATCTAAGGTAACAGCTAATCCATAGGTTAACCAGCTATCTGTGACACAGTACCATAACTTTAATGTTCTATTCTTTTTATTGGGGTGGGGCGGGTAATTGGAAATGGAACATAGTGAGAATGGAGCAGTTCTGAGTGGAGCCATTAAGGTGCAGTCAGCGTTGGAGTAGCCACTAAGGGTCACAAAAAATGAAGTTACAAGGAGGTCAGAAATGATGGATAGAAAAGCAGAAGAGCAAGAAGGAGAAGCAAAAGTAGCAGGAGCAACGTAAGCAGTGGAAAGGAAATACGCATCAGAGAAAGAGAAGCATAATCAGCAAAAGGAAAAGAATTAGCAGGAA